GTGTCGGGGTACAAGGTCGAGGGATAGTGGTACATGTTCCCTGATGGAGGAAACGAACGCAGAGATCTGGGATACTCCAAACTTTCCAGACTCGGACTACAGATGCCCGGAAGAGAGTGAGGCCTGCTGGGAAAAAACGAGCCGTCCTCTGAAAGCGTGTGGTAGACGGCAGACGGGAGGCAGGAGGGCAGGCTGTGTGGGGAATCTGCCCTGACGGGACCGTCCCAGCTGGAAAAGGGTGTCTGATGGGCGTATAATGCACACAGAGGCGGCTGAGTGTAGCTCACTGCGTTATGCTGGAGAATGATCTGGGTAGGTTGTTGGATGGTTGTGGAACAGTTGTGAAGGTCCGACTCAAACTCTTCACTCCTGGTTTCGTCATTCTCCTCGGGACAGTTTAGAGACATGTACTGATCGCTGCCGTGGGCCATGTGGGTTGGATATCTGAACATAAGAAGAAAATCAACACATTCATTTCTTCAGATTTGTACGGAGCCCCTACAGGGACAATGATGTCAATACTGGATCTTCTGTCTAATTGGATCACCTGGCAATCATCAACACTATATTTCAGTAATTTTAGGGTGACCATACGTGCCATTTTCCCAGGACACGTCCTGGCCAGGATTTGTTTTGGCTTTGTTTTCCTGTTTTCGTGCTTGCTGAAGGTAATGATCGAAAAGTAGTTTGACCAATAACATGCAAGCATTGTACATAATGGACCAATCATGGCGTGTGAGAAGGTGGGATCTACGGTCAAAGCGATGCAATTACGCATACATATTAGGTGTGTTCGACTTAAAAGCAGTGCGGCTCAGACCGATCAGTGTTTGACATCAAAGTACCTCGAGAGCGTTTCGAAAGCATAACCGTCTGTATGGTACTTTGATGTCATACACCGATCTGTCTGCACACGCAAACAAAGTCAAAACCTAGATATTTTAGGCAATATAGAAATCCTGGCCAGGGAAAATGGCACGTATGGTCACCCTAGTAATTTTGAACATTTCACGGGGGAACGCAATCCCAGCTAACAGGGAAGGTTCTGAACAAGTTATGAACAAACGTTCTTCCAGTATCGTTAATAAAATGTTAATTCAAAGTTATCTGGTCTTTAATAACGTTCTCAAAACGGTTGCACAAAAACATTATTCAGCCATCATTAATGGAACGTTTTTCTAAAACGTTTTGGTTGGACGTTTTTTAAATGTTGCTACTTGTTTCAGGATATTCAGAGAATGCATGAAATATTCCCCTAACGTTCGTGTAGCCAAGAAAAATCATTTTGAAGTTCTTACAGCATACTTTATTCGCTGGAACAGTTTTGCAAGAGAACACACGCAATACTTTTATGAGAGAACGCAAATATTTAGAGTTCGCCTGCAAAACTTTTACGCTCTTCCAAGAAACTAAGCGTTCGCTTGAAAAACTTGTGTTAGAAATAATGAGGTGGGAGGGAAATAATAATGCTTTTGTGAGCGAATGCAAACTTTCTTGGGTCTTTGCAAGAGAATGCAAATGTTTTACAAGCGAACGCAAAGATTTTCTTGGTAACTCAATAGTTTTGCGAGTGAATTCAGTGTTTCTCGTGATGATACAACTTCTGTCATTTATTCAACCGTTGTTGCTTTTTTCTGTGGACTACAACAAAGCATGCTCCACTTTCACTCGCAACAACAGTTCGGTGAGCACAGAAACACACCATATCACAGCAGTTCACACGACTCGTGCATTATATTCAAAGACATGTGGGGCCGGTTGCATAAACTCCTTAGACTAGTCTTAAAAAGTTAGCCATGTAATATACGTATATATATATTTTTTCAAAACTGGTCATAACTTTTTTTTTTAAATCAGTTACAAAAAGGTAGACTGGTCTAATTGGAATTGAAAAGTAAGACTGGTTACACCTTGGCTAACTTCTAGTTGGTCAAACCAGTTCTATAAGACCGAGTGGCTATGTTTAGGGCCCCTGAAGTCAAATGATAGTTTTGGGTGGAGAACAGACTGAAAGGTTTTGTCATATTTGCAACATGACTCTCACGGTCAATGCTTTTGTTGTAAATAACCTAAAAGTGATGAAAATAACATTTCCTTTCCTATTAACTCCTTCAGTCAATAGACTACATCTGCCATGTTTGTAGGCTATAACAGAGCATGTCTACAGTTGTCGTAACTTATAGTGCTGCACATACAGCGCAATTATTTTAATGTTCAGTCTGAGTGCATGTTTGCACATGCTGTGTTTTCATCTTCACCGAATGACAGAAACCAAGAAGACTTCTGAAAGCTGACAGTGACCAGATGACGGCGTAAGAAAGAGGTCAGCGCTGTTTTCTACTGGGGAAAAATTAAAAAAATATATTTTTTACATTTAAAAGTATAAGAAATACTAATACAATAGGCTATAATACAATACTTTATATACACACACACACACACACACACACACACACACACTTAAACCTGTTTACCTATTTGAACTATTTCCAGTTGACTGAAGACAAAAACTCACCTGAGCTCGAGGAGTCACAGTCACTTCAGGAAGTCAAAACGGTTGTGTTTCATTTGACATCTCGAGTCTTGTTTTCTCACAGCGATTTAGACAGAGTTTAGTTTTAGACTAATATAAGGCGTATTTCAATAATAGCTTAATACGTGTCCGTTCGGTGTCCAGCGTCATGTTGTCAAGTGCGTTTCGAACCGAAGGAGGAGGAACATGATTATATATGATGGGCGGAGTAAAACCACAAGAACACAGGTTCAGGGCTGCCAAACATGATGCATATAAAGCTTAAAGACGTAAAAGAAAGCTTAAAACTTAATTAAAAAACATAATATGCCAGATAACAAAAAATGTTTTGCTAACGTTCCCATGAAGTTCTGAAAATACGTTCTAAACGTCCAGTTTTTAATGGTTTTAAAACAGGTTTTCTTCGAACGTTTGCAAATATTATGGGCACGTTACTTTTGAATGTTCTCTGAACGTTCTGAAACAAGTAACCTAGTAACATTTAAAAAACATTAGACGAACGTCCAACTAAATGTCATGTTTGCACATGCTGTGTTTTCATCTTCACCGAATGACAGAAACCAAGAAGACTTCTGAAAGCTGACAGTGACCAGATGACGGCGTAAGAAAGAGGTCAGCGCTGTTTTCTACTGGGGAAAAATAGGCCTTAGTGTAACATCCACCCATGCAGCGTCCCTAAATAGGACACACTGCATTATGACTCTTTATCTCAGCGTGCCAAAATTCTGCAGCCTGTGCAAACCTGCAGACCACAACTGAGACATTATGCCATGCAAGCAGATGCATAAAACACTTTAGCTTTATGCAATATAGATATTCTGTTTGAGCATTTGAGACATGAAGTGATGGTTCATCAGTTTTCAATGCAAATATAAGCCAATAAGTCAAGTGAAAAGGAAGAAGCAGTTAAACATTTGGCATTTGATAAAGACGAAAGATACGCTTTATCACTGATTCAAACGTTTCCTGACACACTTGAGAAAGAAACCAAGCATATATATATAGGGGTGAATACGGGTATTAAATATATATTTGCAATGACTAAATATTTTGGTATTGATGCATATAAAGCTTAAAGACGTAAAAGAAAGCTTAAAACTTAATTAAAAAACATAATATGCCAGATAACAAAAAATGTTTTGCTAACGTTCCCATGAAGTTCTGAAAATACGTTCTAAACGTCCAGTTTTTAATGGTTTTAAAACAGGTTTTCTTCGAACGTTTGCAAATATTATGGGCACGTTACTTTTGAATGTTCTCTGAACGTTCTGAAACAAGTAACCTAGTAACATTTAAAAAACATTAGACGAACGTCCAACTAAATGTAGCTACATCTGCAAGACGTATTTTCAGTCTGCGTGTTTTAGAGTGTTTGCTCATCTGCAATACGTCTATAGGACGTTCAGATGTCAAATAGACGTCTATTATGGGCACGTTACTTTTGAATGTTCTCTGAACGTTCTGAAACAAGTAACCTAGTAACATTTAAAAAACATTAGACGAACGTCCAACTAAATGTAGCTACATCTGCAAGACGTATTTTCAGTCTGCGTGTTTTAGAGTGGTTGCTCATCTGCAATACGTCTATAGGACGTTCAGATGTCAAATAGACGTCTATAAGATGTCTTTAAGATGTTTATGATTTAGAATGTATGTAAAACTGACATCAGCAGATGCTTCCCAGATGAAGAGATCTTTAACAGACATCTTGCAGACGTATGCTATCTGGGTAAAGACCAGACAAATTTGGACGAATTCTTGTAATGCTACTGGAAGAACATTTATTCATTCATTTGAACCTTGCCAGAACGTAAGCGGTTTTATTCTTTTTAATTGACTTTTAAATGTTAACGTTTTAATTTCAGATTGCACACGTCTGCAAGATGTCTGTTGAAGATCGCTTCATCTGGAAAGCATCTGCTGCGTAAAAGCATCTGACAGACGTCTCTAAGATGTCAGTTTTACATTCATTCTAAATCATAAACATCTTAAAGACATCTTATAAACGTCTATTTGACATCTGATAGGAAACGTCCTATAGACGAATTGCAGATGAGCAAAATCATTGTAAAAAAATATGTCTTGCAGATGTAAATGCAGACGTCAAATAGACGTCTCTGTGATGTACGTGTGCTATCAGGTTTTTTTTTCTTTTTAATCAACTTAGGCTGTATTTCACAATTTATATAGGCTAAACTTAAAGAGCAGGAGTCGTCCGTGTGATAATAATGAGTCGAACAGACAGCTGAGGGCGCTCTATCTGCTCTATACTTATTGAGTTGAACTGAACAGACAGCAGAGGGCGCTCTATCTGCTCTATACTTATTGAGTTGAACTGAACAGACAGCAGAGGGCGCTCTATCTGCTCTATACTTATTGAGTTGAACTGAACAGACAGCAGAGGGCGCTCTATCTGGTCTATACTTATTGAGTTGAATTGAACAGACTCCATCTGGCGCATGCGCAGCGTCACCTTCATGTTTCAAGCCGCACAATGGGCGGAGATCTCTGCTGTTTCCTTCCAAAAATCAACTGATGATCAACCCACGGGAAACGGTTCCTATGTAGCGGATTTAGAGCGACATGCCAGGTACGTCCGTTCTCAAACGAGCATTTCCTCGAGCTTATCACTAATTGCGTTCTGACTCAGCTTGTTGTGGCTGGGTTTGGTTAGTGCATGCAGTAAAATTCAACGGGATACATTCTTACAGTCATGCATGCAAAGCAAACATTACATTAAAAGCAGCTGCATCATTTACAGTGTCCATATCGATCATTATTCATTGTGTTGCATGGATTTATTCATTGTAATATCTTAATTTTTGCAAACTGATGTGAAACGAAAGTTAGATGTAGTCAGTCTAGATTGAGATGATAAATTATAGTTTACTAGTTGATATAACTGTGTGCAATGCACATGCAACTAGAAAGAGATGAGAAAATATACGTTAAAAGAGTTAAATGCTGTAGTGATTGAAGTACCATGGTATAGTGATGCTTATACCATGGTACTGAATTGCTATAATTATATGTCATGGTAGCCTATCTATGCATGCATGGAAAAACCAAGGTGCTTTTTTAAATGATGTAGACAAATTTTAAATAGTAAAAAATAGCTAAACATTATTAAAACAAAACGTGTACGTTTTTACTGGCAGATTTCCACACTTTTAAAAACATAAACAAGTAAAAAAAGATCAGTACAGACAAAATACACTTGTATTCTGTGTGCTTATTCTCTGAAACAAATAGCAGTTTGCTTCGCAGGTAAATTTATATTGCTTTAACGATGTTTAGATATCGAAACGCAGGTTACAACTGTTTCTGCAGTGTTATTTTGGTTGTAAATAAATGCATATGATGCTTTTGTATTTTAAAACACGCGAGCTGAGAAATGCGGACGCGAGCGTGTTTGTAAACAGTCCTCGGGCCTCGTGCGGTTCTCGCACTGTTGCTAATAACAACCAACATTCTTCGCCGTTACCAAGCAACGATATCGCGACGCTAGCTGGTGCCGCTAATGTTTTATCGGGTTTTTAGCATGTAATACTCGTTGGGTTTGTTTAGCGTGTAAGTGTCAAGTCCTGTTTATAGTGAGACCTGTTAGCCAGACAGCCGGTGGAATTAAACACTGCTAAAGTTAGATTAGCAATCACAGCAGCTGCTTCGTTAATGTTTAAACTGCTAATGTCCTCAAAAATAGGGTACATGTACATTCTCACGCGTGTTACATCATCTTTTGCATGTGTTTAATTTACAACGAAGTGCTATGGTAATACCTTGTTTATTATGGTATACTTTGAAGTACCTTAAAATGTCATAAATACCCTGGTAGCACACGTACATCTTATTTTATCTATATATTTTTAGAGTGTTTACTCATCTGCAATAGGTCTATTGGACGTTTCCTATCAGATGTCAAATAGACGTTTAGTAGATGTCTTTAAGATGTTTATGATTTAGAATGAATGTAAAACTGATGTCTGAAAGACGTCTATCAGATGTTTGTCCCAGATAGCACACGTCTGCAAGATGTCTGTTAAAGATCGCTTCATCTGGAAAGCATCTGCTGTGTACAAACATCTGGCAGACGTCTCTAAGATGTCAGTTTTACATTCATTCGAAATCATAAACATCTTAAAGACATCTTCTAAACGTCTATTTGACATCTGATAGGAAACGTTCTATAGACGTGAGCAAACACTCTAAAAAATATGTCTTGCAGATGTAATGCAGACGTCAAATAGACGTCTCCGTGACGTACGTGTGCTGGATATATGAAATAATAGTCAGAAAAAAATTATATAGTTTATAAGGATGCAGTTTATTGAAACTTTAGATGGAGTATAATGTAAAATCTACAAATTTTTTTTAAATTTTTTTTGAGTATCATATTTGATTCATCAGGCTTTTAAGGCTCATATAGTCTGATATAGTTAGAATATGGAGGAAAAACAGCTCAATTATTCAGAGATTCAACTGAGGAAAAATATGCAATTTGCTGCAGATGATGATATTTATATAATGAAATTCTGATGCTTGTAATGTAAATCAATGAGATATTTATAACCGTACTTACATAAAAGTACAGCAGATACTTACATAAAACAATATAAATATCAGTCATCACTCTATATCTCCAGTAATCTGTTTTAGTACGATGAGATTGAAATAATGCAATGCAATCCAGTGCTGATCGAGAGCTGAAGAAATAAAGGCTCCTCAGAAGATGTGAGATGTTCTGGAGGCTTGTGAAGATCATTCCTCCGCTGAGGAACAGTGAAAGTAAAGCTTCTGGAAACAAACGCTCCTCAAAAGATCCTGAGGATCAGATTTGAGACTCTAAAACATGATTGATGGAGAATCAAGTAAAGCTGAGCTGCTTCAGTCCAGTAAGTGTTCATCTGGAGATATGACGTTTACTTGATCAAAATCAGTCTAGATTTGACTCGTGAAGCTTGAGTTGAAGCTGGACGTTTGTACAATTACACTAAAAGAGCCAATCAGACGACAGAAGGTGTGGAGTAAGTTTTGATCATTTAGAGGCCTTAAATTTGCATATATATGTTATAGTGTGAAAGTGATCATTCAGTTTTTGGAAGAGACTTATAATACTTGATTTGTGAAAAATGCAACACATATTAATACTTTAATTTGCATTGCAGGACTTAGAGTGATGGACTGGCTGTTTGGCAGGATTTCCTGGCAGAAGGATGATCTGTCGATTATAATATCGTTCGATTAACACATGTTGCACCGGAGCCGCATTCATCGCATCCCACATCCATTCAGGATTCTGTCTTTGGAGTAACAAGATCTAAAACTCAGTTTTCCGGCCAGTATTTGTGTTTTTATGCGTTGGCCTGAGTCGTGGTCCATCTTTGCAAAGTCATGGAGCCCAACATGGAGTACATAGTGGCGCAGGTCACGCAGAAAGAGGTCGGACGTCGGTTTCAAGTGGGGCCGGAAATCATAGACTACATCCTGGACAGACAGAAGTCACATGACCTGGAGCACGATCAGAGCATGCTGGACAGGATGGTGGACAGTCTGGCAACCACATGGGTCAACGCGAGCAATTTCAAGGTGAGAGAGTTTGTAAGAAACTTTTAGTTCACCTACAAATGAAAATGTGCTCACCCTCAGTTCATCCGAGATTAGGATGAGTTTGTTTCTTCGTCAGATTTGGAGAAATGTAGCATTGCATCAGTGTCTCAGCAATGGATGCTCTGCAGTGAATGGGTGCCGTCAGAATGAGAGTCCAAACAGCTGATAAAAACATCACAATAATCCACAAGTAATCCACAGCACTCCAGTCCATCAGTTAACATCTGGA